TGTGGTGAGAGAAAGCATCCGCCACTGTATTCATGCCCCTGATGGAAGGGAGGGAAAATGAGCCAGAAATTGCGCTTTGCTGGAGGGATGGATTGTTTTCTTGTCCAAGGTAGCACAGAGGGAGTTTGTCTCTTCGTGCCCTCTAAGATCAATTCACTCTTACTGCCTTTATTCGACTGTTAAGTCTCATCCTTGGCTTCCAAGCCCAGTGATTAGCAGTATTCACCCCAGAGAAGAAAGCATAGACAATATCCTCTCTTTTTCTCTCCCCTGCGTGCTTTGCTTGTAAGCCCCAGGTGAACAGAGGTGGGCATCTGACACTATCCGTGGTGGCCGCTGCGGTCTCTCGGGCTCTTCCCGGTGCTGGCCAGCATGCTCATGCTTCAGCATACTGATCTCGTCCTGTGCGCTCCTGATTCTGCCCTGTGAGGTGGACCTGATCCCTGTTTTGTAGGCAGAGAACCGAGGCCCAGAGAGGCTAAGCTGATTTATATTCCAGTGGGATGTGCTTCATTTTCATCATCATTAGAATGTGGAGGACCCCACCATGGCGCTCTTGCAGTTAAGCCAGAAAAGAACTGGGCCCGAGACCGAGCAGACTGTGCACATTCAACAAACAGTGGCTGTGCTTATTGTTCTCATGATTGTGTCTCTTCTCCGTCAGGGATGTTTGATGTGGGGGGCTGAGATTTCTTTGGCACACCTGAAAAAAACCCCTCCTTGAATTCTAGCTGTGTAGTGGCATAAACATTCATGCCCTTTTTTGCTCTTTGCTGTAAACTTATTCTCCTGAGCTCTTCCCTATGCATGTCCCTCACGTTGAGCGCTGAAGTTCCCAGAGACAGAAAACCAGTCTGTGGTGACCACAGAGGGGCTGCCTGCTGCCCCGGGTCTCCCCTTTGGGACCCTGCAGCCTATCTGCTGGATTCCCTGTACTGATGCGGATTGATAAGCCATCTCATTGAACTCCTTCCCAGACAGACTCCTTCACTCTTGGCAGAATTTCTTACTCTGGGGTTCTGGGCCTAGGAAAGGAGCAGTGTCCACAGGCAAGTTGAAGGAATAGAGTTTGGGGAATAGAAGTATATTAGTAGAAGGCCAAATCCAAATAGGAACTGAGCTGACTCTGCGACCTTGTCCTCTTCCCAATCGTACCCCTTCTTTTAGTCTTTCAGGACTGAAATGTTCCTTTTGTAACAGCTACCCCCGAGTAACGCTGGCTTAAAAAAAAAGAGGGTGGGGGTTAGAGTGGTGAAGGGAAAGAAGACATCTAGAAAACCCTCGAGGGGAGATGACACAGCTGAAAACTTCTTACGTTCACTTACCCTTTGATGTTGCCATGCAGATGTCTGTACGTAAATAAATTATGACCTCACCTTCTATTTTTTATATAGTAGTTAGACCCAGAAGCCTAAAAATTAGATGCTTCTTGTGTTCATTTGACATTGCAACAGAAGTTGAATTTATTAACAGTTTTAATACCTCACCCCTGATTGCCCTTTATATTTTTAAGGGGCATTACATACTTTTTTTTCCCTATGGAAAACAGCTCTGTGAGGCTAGCCTTAGTGTCCTGGTTATTCCTGATAGGCGTGGCACAGTGAGGCCAGGTGGCAAGGTCCAAGCCTCACAGCAGAGGCCTAACTGGTACCACACTGGGCAGTCTCCCTGAAGAGATCCTAGGTTATTCTGAAGAAAAGCCTGTGTTATTTTTGAGTGCTCCTGTGACATACACCTGCGTTGGATCTCATTGTCATTTAGTAGTGGGGGTCTTCAGGCAAAATGACTTAACCTCTTCGTGCTTTGGTTTCCTCGCCCCAAAAGGGCGATGGTTATAATACTGCCTACCTTGCAGATTGGTGTGCGTAAATGAGATAATAGACACAAGTACTTGTGGAAATGTTGAGCACATAGAAAGTGCACAATAAATGGTAGCCATCATCATTAGTATTGCTTAAATTGTGTCATACCTCTCTTTATCTGGATTCAGAGTCCTGTGGCACTGTGATTTTTCATTCTCAAATCTTAATGTGAAGGCTCACCAGGTAACCCTTGTCTTTACATATTCATTTAGCAAGTTAATTGAAAAGATTTGCATTAAGGAAAATAAAATATTTCTGTACTGGTCTTAAGAGCATGAAATACGGTAGATACACTAATTACAGTTTTTCTGTAAGAGGTCCAGATTGCTGCCTGGCGGTTGGCAACAACAGTGGGTATTGTGCATCTTCAAACCTATGCATCTGAAAGTAGCTCAAATATAATTTCCAAACTCAGCTTAATTCATATCCTTAGTTGAAACAGATAGTGCTTTCCCATCACCTAAGCCCCCTTTTCTCCCCATTCTTCAGATGACCTTTGCAATAGTCTGGTAATTGTGTGGTGTCTGGACTAGACAAGTGCTGAGTAAGGACCATCAAGGTCCCGTCAGTCATTAAGAGCCCCTTTAGGCATTCAGATTCACCCTAGCACTTGCTGGTCACTGTAGTAGCTTTTTACAAATAATTGCTAGCAGTGTAAATACTACCTAGTGAGGTCTGGAAGACTTAATGTTCCCAGTGTATGCTCAGGAAGTAATTTGCAAAACAGAAGAGATTGGTGCACTACAATTCCCCCCATAGGAGTGCGGAGGGCTGACTTTGCAAGCTTCCGCCGGATCTGCACTGTCATTAACCACCTTGTCACTTTTGAGCACTTGAAATGGGACTAGTGCAGCTGAGAAACTGAATTTTTAATTTCAATGAATTTTGATTTAAATTTAAAAACAGTAAAACAAAATTAAAAAGAGTGTTAAGATTTATTTTTTTGTTAAATATAATTTTATTCTGGGAGCACACTACATTTCATGTGGTCATATCCATGAGATTTGTTGTAGTGTATATTAAGTGTATTCACCACTTCTGATACCTCATTGATAATT